CTTATACACGTACCAAATTACAACCAAGATCCATGCCTTGCATTTTTTTGGGATACTCAACATCTCAATCTGCTTATAAATGTTGGGATTCTAGTTCTAAAAGAATGTATGTGTCCAGACACGTAAAATTCATAGAGAATATTTTTCCTACGCAGAATGATATTTTTTCCCAGCCTGCAGGTTTGGCTCGTGACTTAACATTTTCCCAGTTGTCTTCACAAAATGTTGCTCCCTTCCATCCAGCCATGCCACGTCAGACAAGCTCCTCAACATCTCCAGTTCGTCTCAGTTCAGAGAACACAGTACCACCACCCACTGCGTATCAAAATGCGGCAGCCCCTGGTCGCACTGTCTCCACTCTGCCCGAACAGTCTAATCTCGCGTCATCACCCGCTCCAGCGTCGGTCGCGTCGTCGTCGGCCTCTCAGTCCTCCGCGTCGTCGCCGGTTCCGGCGGCACCCTCACAGTCTCACTCGTCGTCGCCGGATCAGTCCTCTATGTCATCACTGGTTCTGGCATCATCCTCTCAGCCCTCTGCGGCTCCAGCGTCACCACCTCTGTTCTCCGCAATGTCGCCGGCTGCAGTGTCACCTTCTAAGTCTTCCTCGTCGAGATCTGCCAGTCCGGCGTCACAGTCCTCCACAGCGTCTACCTCTTCTTCTGCGTCTGAGTATCTTCCAAGTCCTTCACCGCCCAGCAGTGTTTCAGACTCTTCTAACGTGCCTCGACGTTCTGAGCGTCTTCGAACAAAAATCCCAAAATATTATGGGGATAAGTTTGTGAACATCACTACCGTGCATCCTCTACCTTCCTCTCTTGAGCCATCTACTATTACACAAGCCTTGAAAGATCCTCTATGGCGTGATGCCATGGATGATGAATTTAGTGCATTATGTCGCAATCAGACATGGGTGCTTGTTCCGCGAGGTGGTCATAGTCCAATAGGTTGCAAGTGGGTATACCGTATCAAACGAAAACCCGATGGCATGGTGGACAGGTACAAGGCACGTTTGGTTGCCAAAGGGTTCTTACAGGAGTCCGGACGAGACTACTTTGAAACATTTAGTCCGGTCATGAAACCGGTGGCCATTCGAATTATTCTTACAATTGCATTGAGTAACAGGTGGACTATTAGGCAGCTCGACGTCAACAATGCTTTTTTACAGGGCATCCTATATGAAGATGTGTATATGGAACAACCGCCGGGATACGTGGATGTCCATAATCCATCCTATGTCTATAAGTTACTTAAGGCGCTGTATGGGCTTAAACAGGCACTCTGTGCTTGGTACTTGGAATTGTCAAATTTCTTGGTATCTGCAGGTTTTACACGCTCAAAGGCGTATACATCTTTGTTTGTCTACACCTGTGATAGCGTTGTTGTGTACTTCTTGGTTTATGTCGATGATATTATTCTCACTGGCAATAATTAGGGATGTCAACGGGGCGGGGTGGGGGCGGGGGACATACCCCCCATCCCCGCCCTCGACTTTTTTCCCATTCCCCATCCCCGTCGGGGAAGTGAAAACTCCCCCCATCCCCATCCTCACGGGGATTATTCGGGGGCGGGGAATCCCCACCCCATTAATAAGTTATAAAAAAAATTAAAATTAAACATTCAAAAACTTTTAAATAAATAATGTATATATATTCATCCGCAATTTAAAATAGTATTCAATATTTTACAGTTAGACATGTTATTTAAATATGCATTTCATAAGCATGACAAACAATGACAAGAATGATTCTAAAATTATATATATTGTATACAAAGTAATAGATATGTGTGTGTACTCCTCATACATACATACATACATCGGGGACGGGGCAGGGCGGGGAGAGTACTCCCCATCCCCGTCCCCGTCCCCGGCGGGGAATTCAAAATTGCCCCCATCCCCGATCCCCTATTTTTGTCCCCATCCCCGTCCCCGTAGGAGCGGGGAATCGGGTTCCCCGTCGGGTGCGGGTACAATTGACAACCCTAGCAATAATGTTGTGTACTTGGATGCTTTTGTAGTTAAATTAGCCAACCGGTTTTCAATCAAGGACCTCGGCCTACTACATCACTTTTTAGGCGTTGAGGTCATAACTACTACATTTCGTATGTTTTTATCTCAGGGACATTATCTTGCAGACATTCTAACTCGGTTCAATATGGATGGTGCGAAATCTGTGTCCACACCAATGGCTTCTGACTCGAGGTTACAAGTTGATAGCTCTACTTTGCCCGTGGATGCTACGAGTTATCGCCGTCTAATTGGGCTGTTGCAGTACCTTCTTATCATCCGGCCGAATGTGGCGTATACTGTTAACAAGTTGGCTCAGTATATGCATGCGCCTAATCTCGAGCACTGGCAAGCAGCCAAACGTATTCTCAGGTACTTAAAGGGTACAATTCATATTGGCTTATTGCTGAAGTTTGATACCCCCTTACGGTTGACCGCCTTTTCTGACTCGGACTGGGGGAGTTTACGGGATAAAGGGCGCTCTACTACTGCCTACGTCATTTATCTTGGGGCTAATGTCATTTCCTGGAAATCTGCCCGCCAGAAAACTGTGTCTCGGTCTTCAACGGAAGCTGAGTACCGTGCGTTAGCTCATGCTGCAGCTGAGCTAGTCTGGATTCAGAACTTGCTACGTGAAGTTGGTATTCGTTTGCTTCAACAACCGTCCCTATTATGTGATAACTTGGGTGCCACATATGTATGTAAGAATTCGGTTTTTCACTCCCGGATGAAGCATCTTGCTTTAGATTATTTCTTTGTTAGAGATATGGTTGCTGAAGGTTCTCTATTCGTTCGGCATGTCTCTTCTTGTGATCAGGTGGCAGATATACTGACCAAACCGTTGGGGCGTGCTCTGTTTCAGAAGTTTCGGTCCAAGATTGGTGTAACCGACGGTTCCTCCATCTTGCGGGGGCCTGTTAAACATTAATAGTGGTTCACATGTTACTCTGTTGATTAAGTCTGTTTAGTTATATTTTATTTCCTGTAGAATAGGTATAGAGTTGTTACTAGTATTTTTCCCTATTTATACTTTGCATTGTACAGTTGTTGAGCATTGAATATATATACACTATTCTTCTATTCTCATATCTCTGTCCATGGAAACTGGTGAATAACAAGCTACCAGTCCGTCGCCCATAAACCAGTCGCCGTCTGCCGCCGGTGAACTTAACAACATCACGGAGATGGAGAGCAGCAGTCCATCGCCTGATGAAGAAGAACAAGCAGCGACGTTACCCTATTCCCACCGCCGCTCATGCAATGCTTGGCTCGTAGTAGCATTAGTCATTAAATCAATTCGCCGGAAAAAAAAATGGTGAACGACGACTTGTGGCAGTAGGCATATATGCAGTTATTCTTAATGCTTGTAATTAATGAATTTTAAGCCATCCAAATAATCCAAGCAAATTTCAAAATAATTCTTAAGGCTGAAGATCCAATTTCAGCAGTGCAAAAAACATCATATACAAAATCTTGATGTATATGAAAATTAATATTGTTTTTAGGCAAAACGTACAATTAACCAGGCAGAGATTATAAAGGCTTTTGATACCAAATGTTAGATCTAAATAGTCTAACTATACTGAACAATAGTATACGAGAGATCTGACCTCGTATAAAAGCGGAAGCGTAGCCGTGTTGATCTCCAGCCATGTTTTGCCTCATACCTGACTCAGAACCCTAGATGGTGTATTGGTGTCTACTGAGCAGTATGAGTACCGTATCTGTATGTGCTGTCTAATCCATAAACCTGTATCCCATCAATCCAGGTTTATATTAGGCACAGAGTTTAGTTGACTAACAACTACTAGTTATTAAGTCCAACCAGACCACTTAATAAGCCTAGTCAACTTGCACCACTTAATTAAGGCCCTAATATATAATATACAATATATATTATCAAGGGAAAATATTACATGAGCAGCATGGCATTTTGCTCCGCAATTATCTTGCTAGGCATATCCGGAAATAAATTAAGATCATGTGAACATGTGGAGGTGAAAATGTGTTCAAAATATTCCATTATGAGTGATTTCATGGCCTCTCCTTCAACTTTCGAACCTGTAGAGTTATGTAGACACTTTCGAACCTGTAGAGTTATGTAGACATGGAATATGATTCTTCCGTCGTTGTGTAGAGGTGTAGCGGTGAAAAAACTTTGTGTTTTTATCCCCTTCCTTTAGCCAAAATTGCTTGAATCTTTGTTTCCAATATATCTCTTCCTGAGCTAGTGTTTTGTTAAGTGGCTTTGCATGAGTCTCATTATATTTCGTTATTGAAGCCGTGTCTCTCTTTGGTTTAATTTTAGGGTTGCAAGTCTTTTTCTTAATGCATGCTTTTATAGTCTTTGTGAAACGGTGAACATTTTTCCCTCCCCAGCCAGATAATCTCTCTTCGCAAAGGTCAATTCTGCTTTGTAAACTCAGATGTCCACCTTCCTGCCATTGCATGCTTGAGTCACAATTCCCTTGCATCCTTCATCTAAGAGCCATGCATGCATTCTCAAATTTTATGTGTCTGGGAGTCAGAGTCGTGGTTTCAGAAGGGTCGTATAAGTCCATACATAAAGATGGGGGAAAAGACTGAAATGTGACAAATAGGAGGCCCAATTCCGAAAATAGGACACTTTTTTTTTTGGACAAAAATGTGAAAAATACGTTTGGGACATGCGTTTTTGGCATGTCCCAGTTCTTTTTTTTATTTTTTTATCCGTTAACAAATATGCAAATACCATTTGCGGCTTTGGTATTTGATACGCCAAACGCATTTATGAAATGCGTTCGACGTATATTATTAGTATACGTTAAAACGCATGTACGAGATGCGTTTGGAGTATTATACGTCAGGCGCATCTCGTATATGCGTTTTAGTCGCCGTTCAGTTGCCGGAGTCTGAGAAGGGAAGACGCGTGTGAGAATTGCGGTCTAAGTAAATCGCATGATGCATATGCCTTTTAGACGTGTTACTGCTTTCAACATCAAGAACAAATACAAAATGGTGATGAGAATCTTCTTCTTCCTTTTCCTCTTGGCCTTTGCGGTTCTCACTGCAAATGCATCAGTGAATGACTTCTGCATGGCCGACAGCCCTGGAGCCCGCGACACCCCTTCAGGCTTCGTGTGCAAGAACACCGCCAAAGTCACAGCCGCCGACTTCGTCTACTCTGGCCTGGCAAAATCCGGCAACACCACCAACATCATCAACGCCGCCGTTACTCCGGCGTTCGTGGCTCAGTTCCCGGGAGTGAACGGGCTGGGATTCTCCCTTGACCGCCTCGACTTGGCACCCGACGGAGTGATCCCCATGCACACCCACCCCGGCGCCTCGGAGATCTTGAACGTCGTGGAGGGCACGATCCTCGCCGCCTTCATTTCCTCCGGCAACAAGGTGTACGAGAAGACGCTGTACCCCGGCGGCGTGATGGTTTTCCCTCAGGGACTTCTGCATTTTCAGGTGAACGCCAGGAAAGGCAGCGCCCTGGCTTATGTGAGCTTCGGCAGCGCCAACCCGGGGCTGCAAATCCTTGATTTCACGCTGTTTGCCAACGATCTTTCCACCAAGACCATTGCCGGGACCACTTTCCTCGACGAAGCTACCATTAAAAATAATTGCAGAAAGAAAAAAAAAATGGTGATGAGAATCTTCTTCTTCCTTTTCCTCTTGGCCTTTGCGGTTCTCACTGCAAATGCATCAGTGAATGACTTCTGCGTGGCCGGCGGCCCTGGAGCCCACGACACCCCTTCAGGCTTCACCTAAACCGCAAATTCCAAGCGCGGCTTCTCGTGAATATTCTCCGGCACTGACCGGCGACTAAAACGCATGTACGAGATGCGTTGGACGTATAATACTACAAACGCATCTCGTACACGCGTTTAACCGTATAGTAATAATATACGCCAAACGCATTTACAAAATGCGATGGCCATATACAATACCAAAGACGCAATTCTCATATGCGTCTTTGGTAACGTATAAAAAAATAAAAAAAGACCTGGGACATGCTAAAAACGCATGTCCCAAACGTATTTTTCACATTTTTGTCCAAAAAAAAAGTGTCCTATTTTCAGAATTGGGCCTCCTATTTGTCACATTTCAGTCTTTTTTCCTATAAAGATGGCTGATTGGTCAGAGCTTGAAACTAGGAGATTTTGAACCTCGGCTTGCTTTTACATATGTTTCACGCCATTCTGAGGAAACGAGTGCCCGGTTGAGTCTCTCTTCCACACAATTATATGTACCTCTTCCCCTTTCCCATGTAATTAAAGAGATATCTAGACATATCGAAGTCCCATAACTCACAATCATTGACCGTCTCCCTAAATCTTGAGAGTAAAGATTCTGGATGTGGAATATTTCCCCTTTTCTCAGATTGTCATGTTAGATCGTTGAAGTCGCCAATAATCAGCCAAGGTAAAGCCAATTTCCTATGTAACATTCTCAAGTGATTCCAAGTATCTTGACATCTGATGCGCTCTGGATAGCCATACCAACCGGTTAACCTCCATGGAGCCTCATCAAGAAGAGTTCTGAGAATAGCTAATTAAGTTTACTGTGTGTTATCAAAGGACCACGACCCATCGTCAACAACACACTGGGCGTCCTTGGCGTGAAAAAACTGGGATTCATAGAGATTAGGTCTGATCTCGATAATGCCAACTCCATGGACTGGTCTCCAGACATTAAAAAGGGTATGCTGCATATATTCATATTTGATGATCTTGGTAATCAAGAATCTGCCTACCAGCGACCAAACTCCAAGTTCAACATCTAACAAAATTCGTTGTGCGGTCGGTAGCTAGGGCGAAAGAAACCCCTTCCGCCTCATCTCCCAAGCCATGTTGTCACATCGTTCAACAAGAGAAGCTATGTCTTCGTTGTTCGTCGCTATGGTATTGCTGGAGATGCAAGAAAACCTTAAAATTAGGGTGGTGTAGACAAAAAACGCTAAAACTTAGGGAGAGGGAAACTCAACTGTCGGGAGATCGAGTACAATATCTTTTTTAAATAAACTCTTTCTTCATTACTTATTTCTTTAATTATTTTTAAATTTGATTTTTTTTTTTTTTTGCGTTTAATACTACTTTTAATATAGTTTCTAAATATATAAATTTTGTATTCTAATACTAAACATAATATTATGAAAAATTGAATTAAAAATAACGCTCGTACCATACTCAGACTAATCCCATTCGCACCGGACCGACCCAATTAAATAGCAAAGTGCTGGCTAGATTGATTTTTCCATACAAGAGTGGGTCCGAACTCCCAACCTCTCTTAAGAGATGAGAGTGCCCAACCACTCACTCCAACCAAGTTGGTTTCCGTTAAACCTTGTTAACCAAACTAGACAAACAAAATGGGACAAATAGAGCATATTAAAAATAAACTTAACATTATGAAAATGGAAAATTATATAGTGCACCAGGGCGCACAATGCATTGTGTGCCTTGACCCAAAACGACGTCGTTTTGTATCTGTTTTCCGTTTCTGCCGTTAACTTCTAAAAAAAATCCATGTTTCGTATGTACAGAATTGTATAATAGAATACACATAAACTCATAACGTAATACATATAATCTAACATAATACATAATACATAATACACATAAACTCTTAACATAATACACATAAACAGTTAAACGCAAGTGTTAAAAAAACTGTAATGGAATTGGACGGATGGAACGGTGTCCGTCGCGTCAACTCCCCACCAATTTATAGAAACGTCGTCATTTTGGGCCAGGGTTGTGCACCCTGGTGCACGATATAATGATTGTATGAAAATTTGAATTAAAAATAACTGATTAAATGCCAGCCTAGGTCATCCGAGTTTGGTGATTTTGCCACCTTTAGTCCTAAACTTTCAAATCGACCCTTCGTGATCCTTCGAGTTTCGAATTCAACCTACCGTAGTCTTTCCGTTAAGATATTCCGTCTAAGCCATGAAAATTAAGGGAAAAAAATCTTTTAATTGCAATCCCAGCCAAAACAATTCATTTCCCTCAGAAATTAGCCCTAATCCACCGAAAAAAATTACAATTGAACGAATTTCTGAGCGCTAATTTCTAAGGAAAAAAAAATTGAACGAAAAAAATTACAATTGACAAAATTTAAGGCTAATTTCTGAGGGAAATGAATTGTTTTGGCGGGGATTGTAATAAAAAGACAATTTTGCCCTTACTTTTCATGGCTCAGACGGAATATCTTAACAGAATGACTACGATAGGTCGAATTCGAAACTCGAAGGATCACGGAGGATCGATTTGAAAGTTTAGGATTAAGGGTGGCAAAACTACCAAACTCGGAGAACCTTGGCTGACATTTACTCAAAATCTACTATACTAATAAGAGCCCAAGAGAGTTAGGTCTATAATGGGTAGAAAAAATGGCGGTCACAGATTTTAATCAAATGAATGGCTCAGATTGATTAAAAGATTGATCAGATTTAAAGTTTACACTAAAATTTCTTAAAATACCCACACATCGTTACTAATTCCATTAAAATTTTAAGAATTGTCGTTAGTTCACCGTTAACTTACTCATTGATTTCAATAAAAGAAAAGGTCTTAGGTTCGAGCCTCATCCCAATCAAAATTGGCATAATTAGTACTCTATTTTACTCTTATTAAATTATATAAATAATAATTTAGTAGTTACAACAAAAAATAATACATATGCTTTTCTTTAATTTAGAATTATGTGTTCACAATGTCTTTATTCAAAAAAAAAAAAAAATTATTCATTATCAATAAATTATATAAGATAAATAATTTTATTAGTTATATTATCTTTATTTTTCTTCAATATAAAAATTCTTTATATTCAAATTTATTAATTGATTATATTCGCTACATTGTCCTTACAATGTCTTTATTCAGTGAAAAAACAAATTATTGATTATCAATAAATTAATTAAAATAAATATTTTCATTAGTTATATTGTCTTTATTTTTCTCAAATGTAAAAATTTTTACATTCAAATTCATCAATTGATTATATTCACTACATTATCTATTATCTTTTTTGTGCACTATTTTTCTAGTTAAATATCAAAGTTATAACATAAAATAATGCTATATATTTATTTACCAAGTATTTTATTAATACCATGAAAAAATTTAAAAAATATAATTAATAAAGCCAACCATATTAACTATTTGAGAGATTTTGTGACAACGAGAGTATTCAAATCACACAACAAATTGAAGTGAGAACTACCTCGCAATGTCCTTGTTTGACAATCCGCAGTTAGCGGATTATACAAGCGGATTTGACCAGCGAATTTATTTAATTATTAACATTAGGTAAAAAATGACCGTCAAATTATTAAATCAAATGAATGGTTCATATTGTTCAGGTTTTAATTTTTTTCTTTTAAGATTTTTTAATTTATCCTTAATTATATGATTATCCATTTAACTTTTCCGTTAATTCACCGTTAGTCTAATTCTAATATTAAAGTCTAATATAGAATTATAACTACACCATTAATCTAATTCTAATATTAAAGTCTTAATAGAACTTAACCACAAATCCTAATGTCGGAATCTCCTCAAACAATATTAGTATATATTTCATATTTTATGCCCTAATTTTTATTTGTTCTCCCTTATGTCCCGTATTTGGTTTCAACCATACCTATACAATTATTTTATTGACAATTATAATCAATATTGACTATATTATCTTGAATTTGTAAACTTAGAATTACATATTTAACCCGCACGGGCTTAGCTCAATGGTTTAGTGGGTAGTATTTGGGAGAAGAGACCAAGGTTTGAACCTCGGCGCGGGCAATGCGGGAATTATGTCCAAAGTGGGCAGATTCCTTGTGCATACCAGCATTTGGCCCTGTCTGCTAAACCATTGAGTCACCGTGATTTACAACTTCCCACAATGCTCTGTCGGGTCGGAGTGTGGGAGGGCCCTTGGGGTTGGGACTCAACCTTTGGGAGAAGAATTACCTATTTAAATATGCAAATTCAACCTTCAATTATCTATGCATAAACAATTTCAATATAATCTTGCCTTAATATACTTTAAAATACTTATTTAAAAAAAAACATTGGGCCATTATCCTAATAAAGAACTAGTAATTTTAATAAAGAAAAGGGAAATGTGGGGGTTATTTTGGAAATTGGAGAAGATTTGGGGTGATTCCGATCTTCCCCACCCCCACCTCTGCAAACTGCAAAATTGATCTCTCTGGCCTAGGGACTACTGACTAGGGTGTAATATACAGCGCCATTGCCAGCGGTGAAATTATGGATCTTCGGAACGAAGGTGCTGGTCGGCGGCGGGGTACCTTGATTTGATGCTTCTTCTTTTGCGACTGATAAATTTTTATGTAATGCTCTAAATTTTCATTTGTGTTTTATTTTTGGGAAAATTTTACCTATTTTATCAGCTAATCTTATCTTGATGATTGAAAGCACTAGAAAGTAGTGGGAAATTTTATTGAATTTCTGTGCTTAAAATGTTTTAGTTGGTATCAGAATATACTTGCTTCAACGTGTTTAATAAACGTCGTGTTTGGCTGTGTATATATATATATATATATATATATATATATATATATATATATATATATATATATATATATATATATATATATATATATATATATATATATATATATATATTTTTTATTTTATTATAATTCAGCCTTCTACGTTGTACCTGTACGCATTCCCTAATCCCTCTGCCAACTTCTTCTTCTTCTTCAGGCTTGACCGAATCGCCGCTTCAGCCTTCTGCAAATCCATCTTGGTGTCTTGACTCAGGGAGGCAGCGATTCCACACTCCAGCGAGCATAGCAGACGACGCGGCGACAAGCATAGCCCGCACTCCGAAGCCGCCTCTGGTTTACGGTCAGAATTCAGCCGCAGTCGACTCGTCCACAGTCCACTCCTGAAACAGCAGCTCTTCGCCTCCTCAGGTTCAAATTTTGAACAATCAAATCTAGCCCTATATTCCTAATTCCATAATTCTCGTCAAAATTGATTTGTGTGATTCGTTTATAATATATAAATATATAAATTTCTTTTAAGTGTTTGATATTTTGTCATGGAGGTTTTTTTAAATGCTTGAACTTTGGCACTACTCAAGTTTTCTTCTTGCTCCGCCCCTGATGAAGTGATGAGTGGGTGAAAATGTTTCCATCTGAGAATTGGTCGAGTTCACTTCCAGAGTTAATGAGGGTAAAGGATAACCACATAGTTTGTAGGAAACCAAAATCTAAGTAGTAAATATGCTTTATGATGGAGTAAAGAGGCAGGAATGAACTAATAAAAAGAATCAGACAATGTATTAAACAAAAACAGAAAATAAACCCAGGAAATGTCCCAGAGTGGAATTTCCCCAGCAAGTCAAAGAACCTGCCCCTCACCCAATAACTGATTATTACAATGATTTGCTAGTGACTTGACAATGAAGGGTGCCACAATCCCACGAAGTGGGCATACTTGGTAAAACAGTCGACGACCACCAAATACAATTTCACAATTGTATGCAAATGAGGCAGCCTAGTGATAAAATCAACCTTCGAGTCCTGTCAACCATGTATGGCAAAGTATTTCTTTGCATGCTTGAGCTACCCAATTGGACTGTCCCCTCAAAATTGGGTATTCCAATAGTTTTGGTTTTCACCTGAATAGGATCCATGGTAGGCGAGGGAGGAGAGGGTATGGTTGAACGTGATTTTTTCCAAATGTGACTCAATAACGGTGTTGGTAACAGAAAGTTGTGCTAGTTTTGGCATGTCCTTTTCCATGGAACGAAAGGGTGATCAGGTTGGATAGTTTGGACATACCTCCATGTTAGTAAGTTGTTTGTCCATGACTGCATGAAGTTCCTCCTGACTCTCCTCCAACACTTCAGCTCTCGACTCTAGTTGTGTCATTCTTGAATCAAATGGCAGGTTGGACCAATTGATGGAGTAAATAGGCAGGAACGAGCTAATAAAATGAACCAAAGAATGTATTAAGCAAAAATATATAAACTGAGGAATTATCCAAGAGTGGATTTTCCCCAAAAGTCGTCTGAGTATTTTGTAGAAGAACACATGTAACAAAAAATGACTATTGGTTTTGAAGCTTCAAAGTTCAAAGCATTGATTGTAACAATATGAATGTCTATTGCATGTGCCTTTGTACTCAAAAAGGTTTTTGAACACATACATTTTATGCTAGAAAGCTATCTTGCTGTGCTTTTTTGGACTGTTTGACTTGCATATGAACCATGGATGAGTTTTATTCATTTTTAATCTTAGGAAGATGAGAAATCTCTTGAGATTACAGCAGCATGGGGTGCACAATGCTCTTGAACTTATCCATTTTAATACATTTTTATAATGAAGTTAGGTTCATCAAATGAGCTTGAGGTTTTTTTTTTTTTTTTTTTTTTTTTTTTTTTTTTTTTTTTTTTGTGGGGGGAGGGGGGGGGGGGGGGTGCATATGGACATTGAACAATGGAATTAATCATGTTGCGCTTGCTTGATAGACTTTTTGGCTGATTTGTGTGCTTTAACATGTTTTATGTCCTTTTCTCTTCCCTAGCTGCTGTTGGAAACGTTCGTAGAGTTACTTCAGAGTAAAACTTTGTGGAGCTCAACTAGTGTGCTATGTTCTTCGGAATGAAAAATGATTAATTCTGGAGATAGCATGCAAAGTAGTCATCAAATGGTTGCACATATGGGTGATGATGTAGAAGAGGCACAAGAGAATAGAGATGGTGGAATGTCTCATTCCCCTAAAAGGGCCATTGTGGCATCTCAAGGAAATACAGATCTTGAACCACATGATGGTATTGAATTTGAATCCCATGAAGCTGCATATTCATTTTATCAAGAATATGCCAAATCAATGGGATTCACCACCTCAATAAAAAACAGCCGCCGGTCAAAGAAATCAAAAGAATTCATTGATGCTAAATTTGCATGCTCCAGATATGGAGTGACACCAGAATCAGACAGTTGCAGTAGTAGACGCCCTAGTGTCAAAAAGACAGATTGCAAAGCCAGTATGCATGTCAAGAGAAAGCGAGATGGGAATTGGTACATCCATGAGTTCATAAAGGACCATAATCATGAACTTCTTCCAGCCCTAGCATATCACTTTAGAATTCATAGGAATGTAAAACTAGCTGAAAAAAATAATATTGATATTCTTCATGCTGTTAGTGAACGAACGAGAAAGATGTATGTTGAGATGTCAAGACAAACAGGTGGAATTCGAGATGTTGACTTTACGGGGAATAGCTTGAGTTACCAGTTTGATAGAGGTCGATACTTGGGGTTAGAAGAGGGTGATGCACAAGTTATTCTTGAATATTTCATGCATATACAGAAAGAGAACCCATATTTCTTTTATGCAGTTGATCTTAATGAAGATCAGCGTCTAAGGAACCTGTTCTGGGTTGATGCTAAAAGTAGGAAAGATTTTGTTAATTTTAGCGATGTTGTTTTCTTTGATACCAATTATATCAAGAGCAATGAAAAGATGCCATTTGCCCTTTTTGTTGGAGTGAATCATCATTTCCAACCTATTTTACTTGGATGTGCATTAGTAGCTGATGAAAGCAAACCAATGTTTGTTTGGTTAATGAAGACATGGCTTAGAGCAATGGGTGGACAACCTCCAAAAGTAATAATAACTGACCAGGACAAAGCCCTCAAAGCAGCTGCTGAAGAAGTTTTCCCTTCTTCATGTCATTGCTTTGCTCTTTGGCATGTAATTGAAAGGATTACTGAAATTCTTTCTCATGTCATAAAGCAGCATGATAATTTTATGGGAAAATTCACCAAGTGCATATTTAAGTCATTGACAGATGAACAGTTTGATATGAGATGGTGGAAGATGGTCACCAGATTTGAGTTACAAGAGAATGAATGGATTCGTTTGTTGTATGAAGACCGTAAAAAGTGGGTGCCAACTTTCATGAGGGACACCTTTTTGGCTGGAATGTCCACAAGTCAACGATCTGAAAGTCTAATCTCTTTCTTTGACAAGTACATTCATAAAAAGATTAGCCTTAAGGAGTTTGTAAAACAGTATGGAATCATTCTGCAGACTAGGTATGAAGATGAAGCCATAGCAGACTTTGATACATTGCATAAACAACCTGCATTGAAGTCTCCTTCACCATGGGAAAAGCAAATGTCAACAATTTATACTCACGCAATATTCAAGAAATTTCAGATTGAGGTTTTGGGTGTAGTTGGATGCCACCCAAAGAGAGAAGGTGTGAATGGGGAAAACGTAACTTTCAGAGTTGATGACTGTGAAAAGGATGACAATTTTATGGTGACATGGAACGAGGCAAAACTAGAGGTTTCTTGTTCTTGCCTTCTATTTGAATACAAAGGTTTTCTTTGCAGACATGCAATGATTGTTCTTCAAATGTGTGGCCTTTCAAGCATCCCACCACATTATATTTTGAAGAGGTGGACTAAAGATGCTAAGAGCAGACACTGGATGATAGAGGGTACTGAAAGAGTTCAAACAAGGGTGCAAAGGTACAATGATCTATGTAAACGGGCTATTGAATTGGGTGAAGAAGGTTCTTTGTCTGAGCTGAGTTACAGTATTGCATTCCGAGTACTGGACGAAGCTTTAAAGAACTGTGTAAATGTTAATAACAGAACTGGTGCAGCATGTAGCAGCAATGCTGTTGTCCTACGAGATATAGAAGAAGATACCCAAGGATCCCATACTACCAAAATAAGTAAGAAGAAGAATGTGACCAAGAAAAGAAAGGTTTGTCTTAGAACCAGTTCTCTTTGTCAGCATAGTTTGCTTCATTCCTATAATTCCAATGTGCTTGATCCCAGGTACAATCTGAGCCTGGACTTGCAATTACCGATGCTCAAGGCAGTTTGCAACAAATGGTTTGTCTCTGCGATTTATTTATTGTGAAGTATTTTGTTTTATTATGCCTTAGACACAATTGAGGTGTGATCTTTCTTTAGTGACACAAAACTGCTTTTGATGTGATATGAAATCAAGAATACTGTTTCAACGATTTATATGTGCACTGAGATAATTGCAACTTCATTTTAGATTTACTGAATCCATTTGAATTCATTTTCTACCAATAACTTTCTGCCATAGAAGAGGAAGGGATTAGTAATTTCTCTTCTTGGTGTGTGTGTATTTTTTTTCTGTAGTATTTATTTTAACTTTCTTGGCTGTAGGATAATCTTAACTCAGATGGTATGACCCTGAGTGGATATTATGGAACACAACATAATGTGCAAGGACTGGTAGGTTGCTGTGATTGATATCTTCAGAACAAAATAGACCTTGGTGTTGCCTCTTTTTTCTGTGATTGAAATGTGTGCTTGCAAAGGGTGATCCTATTGTTATTTGATTTCAGATACAGTTGAATTTGATGGAGCCACCTAACGATGCTTATTATGTCAACCCACAGAATATCCAGGGGCTGGTATTCAATGCCGATCTGTTATTACTATTTTCTATTTAAGTTATTGCTGATTGAACTTCTGTAAACGTTTGAATGGTTGTGTAGGGGCAACTTACCTCAATTACACCTAGTCATGATGGGTTTTTCGGGTCTCAACAAAGCATGCCTGGACTGGTTAGACTCTCTTGATATCTAAGTTTTACCTACTCTGACTTCAGAATCAGAAGATAGAATTTTAAAGATTCTCATACCATATAGGGGCATCTGGATTACAGACCAAGCTTCGGTTACAGCTTGCAGGTCAGTGCACTGATTAAATACTTCTCTTGGAGTCGAGGGCACCGTTAGTTAATAGTTACAGCACATTTGTATTTACACTTTGGCTTTCATTTCAGGATGAGCCTAACATGAGATCTGCTCAGTTGCATGGTGATAATGCTAGACATTCATGAAGAATGCATACTTTACTTTGGTTATGTAGTGCTCCCTCAGGCAACGGTTTTACATTCTGACAATAAAGAGGAAGGATTATGTGTGGGTGTGGGGAGGATAGAAGATAAGTACTAAGTTTGGTATATCATGTAAATAAATCTTTCAAATCTTCTCAGTATTAAATGTCATTTATTGCCCTCTTTTTACTAACTCAGATAGTCTGGCAGTTGGTACACGAGTTGCTGCAGTGGCAGCACAATTCTTAATGGCAAATTTGATTGTAAACCATGGTCCATGTAGCAGTGTGGACTAGGAAGCAATACGACGTTGTTTGAATATTTTTAACAAAAGAAACCGTTACTGTTAACAATGGTAGACAACAAATTCTGGTAACTGGTAAGGTTTATGCAATAGCCTCTCTCATTTTTTGTTGTGATCTTCTCATCAGCTTCTCTCATTTTTGTTTTTCTTCTCAACATCTCCCATACTTGTTTTATCAAGTGTATTCTCATAGTTCATTCAATTTCATTTAATAGTAGTTTCATTACAACACTAATTCTAATTCAACTACAATTTCATATGACAATATAATATGTAAGATATTCAACCGTAGTTTCATTACAACACTACTAAAGTATCATTCTAATTCAATTACAGTTTCATTTTATAATATGTGAGACATGCTATTCAGTTTTATTTTATACACTGTAATTTCATTATAGCACTACTAAAGTATCATTCTATGAACAGATACTGCATTGTAACAGAGTCAGTAGTACTAAAAAAAATGTATCATTCTAATTCAACTACAGTTTCATTTGACAATATACACTCAATATGTGAAACATGCTATTCAGTTTTATTTTATACACATTGTAGTTTCATTATAAAATCACTCAAGTATCATTCTAATTCAACTTACGTATTCATTTAACAATATACACATACAGTATTGTTTAGATATTATAATCATCTCATAGGTTTCAGAATAATTTCTTATTGCATTTTAGCTTTGAGTGATTGTAAACTCTAAATAATAGAAGTTGCATTTTATACCCATTCAATGAAGCTTTAGGGTTGCACGTTAGAAAAAAACATAGCTGCTTTGAAGTTCGAAGACGTAACAATGCCACGCTGGAGAGGTAATGAAGTCAAAAGCTTGCTTTTCATTTTTATATTTAAGTGTGTATAAAATGCAACTTACACCACAAACACATGATTGATTGAACATAAGAGCGATAATTTTTTTTTCATTAAAAGAAATGACAATCGTTTTGAATCATAGTACAATAATCATAGTATACTGTATCACGATTGATTCTTAATCTGTTATCTGGATTTAGATTTTTGAAGTACAAAATTAGATGGGTGTAAATTTTGGTGCGAAATTGATTGGTTGATTAAAAAATATCAAGAAATTAATGGATTGGGGTTGGAAAAATTGATTTTGATACTAAAATCAGTTCAACCTAAATTTGATTGCCCGAGCAGGTTAGTATGGTTCTTAGGGGAAATTATACCATGGACCAGAGTCTATCTTGCTTATGAATTTTGATTCAGAAATAATTTTTAGATTTTGCACCTGTACTTGACACATTTTGTACCTGACATTTGTACACATTTTGTACCTGCATAAATGTCTGGATTTGCTACCAATATGCTTTCTCACCACATACAGTTAGGGTGAAAATAGGCAGAGCCGAGCCGGACTTTAAAAAATTAGGCCTGAGCTTGTATGTAGGGTTTTTGTTAGGCTCAAGCCTGAGCCTACAATTGGCTTGGCCTGAAACCTTTTTAAAAGCCTATTTAAAATATCGGCCTTTAAAAAGGCTTCAAAGTAGGTCCTAAATAAGTTTTGAGCCTATTTAAATAGACTTTGAGCCTATAAAACCTATTTAAGACTTACATTTTAAAGTCATTAAAAGTATACCTGTAAAAAATTACAAAAAAATACCTAACACATTACACATACATAAGTATATTACCACAAATCCATCTATCATATTATAAAATTACAATCAATCAATAACCATAAAATGACAAAACCATAAATTCATATTTCATAATACAATATCCAACAAAACAAGTTTAATAAGTATAAGTTCATAATACAAAATTCAACAATATAAGTTTAATAACCACAAGTCCATAATACAAAAGTTCAACACAAGTTTAACAACAAAACTATAAGTCCACAATACAAACATAATAACAATAATAGTACTTAAACATAAAATGAAACAAGTCAATGACGCACTTAAAGCTTGACGCACCTTAAGCACACAAACAAAAGGACCTTAAGAACACAGACCATGCGCAACTAGAGCTTTAAGCCGACGCACCTTAAGTACACAAACCACACACTTTAAGCACACCAACAAAGCACCTTCAGAACACAAACCACGCACCTAAAGTTTTAAAATGGCGCACCTCAAGTTTCAACAATTGACGCTTCTTAAGCATACAAATACGCACCTTAAGAAGGAAAACAACGCACCTTTAAGGAAAACCACGCACCTAAAACTTTAGGTCGATGCACCTTAAGTTTCAACACTGACGCACCTTAAGCACACAAACCACGCACCTTAAGAAGGAAAACCACGCACCTAAAGTTTTAATCGATGCACTTAAGTTTTCAACAATTGACGCACCTTAATCACATAGCACAAAAACAACTCACCTTAAGCACAAAAATCACGCACCTTAAGAAGAAGAACCACACACCTTAAATTTGATCTAGATGCAAAAATTACCAAATTACCATCGCATTTTTTTTTAAAAAAAATTGTATTAATCCTAAACGTTGATTTAGGTAAAATCAATAGCTCATATTTAACCGCACAACTACACGGGACACACCCAACCGCACGAGAACTGAATTATATATTATATATATATAAACAAGTCAGGCCTACGGGCTTGTAGGCCAAGCCTTTACATATAGGCCTGGGCCTATTTAATTAAATAAGCTTCTAGATAAGCCTAGGTTTGATGTTTTTACTAAATAGGCCAGACCATAAGCCCCTATGAAGGGGCCTGGCCTATTCCCATCCCTACCTACAGCTACAAAAATCATATCATGCGTGACAAAAAATGATTGAGATTATTCATTAAAGATACCAGATTACAGAATGCAATTTAGTTTTTTTCAAGCTGATAATGAATAAATTGGAGTAGATAATAAAGTTTGCAGTATTCATCATTATAAGCTTTGCCAGAGGAGCCAATATTTGTATTTGGAAGAGAAGAAGACAAGAAGTGTCTGACTCTAAAATTAGAAGGAAGTATTCCAATGGCTGAATTTTAAAGGCTCTCTCCTTTAGCCCTCTGCCACCAAAACAATCATCCAGGTAGAATTTCAAGAAATGAAAGATGGTTTTGTCCTAGCAGGAACAACACAATCTGGCAGACAGGGATTATCACTCACTCCATCACAGCAACTCCTCCAGCAGCTTTGATCTTTTCGATTATGTGGTTTGCCTCCTCTTTGGTAACCCCCTGCTTAAGAACTGCAGGCACCTTTTCTACGAGGTCCTTGGCTTCCTTCAATCCCAAATTTGTAAACCCTCGTACCTCTTTGATCACCTTGATTTTTGCGGCTGCATCAAATTTCTCTAGCTTAACATCAAATACTGTTTTTTCTGCCTTCTTCTCCTCGGCCTTTGATGCTCCAGCTCCTGACCCTCCACTGCCACCAAAATCTATGCCTTCTACTGATATAGGTTTCATCATGGGATGCTTCAATCTCTCTCTAAGTGTGGGCCCAATTTGTCTGCGCTCCTCGGGTGTGAGGGCAGCAATCCGTTCTACAAGCTGAATGATCTTATCGGAAGGTGGGGGTCTAGGGCCATATGGATCGTACACGGCAGGGTATTTGTATCTTCTAGGCTTGGCATTTGGATCTCTTGGAACAAAATCAGGTTGGAAGGAACGACATTGCAAAGGCCCTGTTATTCTACAAAAAGCAATGTGTGCCCTGGAGGATCTAAAAGTTGCAAGGAGCTTCATGGCTTGCGGATGAAGGGCGACAAGAGAAAGATGGCCGGAAAGAATGACTTCATTTACTTGGAATGAATTCCTTTATCAGTTTGATTCTGCAGCTGTTACAAAATTGTTGGGAAGCAAAAATGAGATGTTTAATGTTTAATCAGCCACTTGCACAAGTAGGACATCATTATGACATTATCTAGTATAACAAAGATGGAGCATGTCACTATATGTTCTGGAAGAGATCCATCAGTAAAGATTGAAAGATATCCAATGTAAAAAAAGTTACTAAGACATTGTTGGCATTTAATAAGAGCTTTTCAAATCAAGTTCATAAGAAACATATTGCAAGAAATCAGACAGGCCTAATCCCAAATTAATAAGTCAATTATTAAATGTAGAAGAAAGGTCAAAAAATTTGAAGTGATCAAACAACTTAACAGAAGTTAAAAGTCGCGCATCCATGATACTTTAAACTTCAAATTTCTAGCGGTATCACCACGCCCACATTTGTAGTACTCTTCAAAATGCGTAGTATCATAACAAAGGAAATATAGTATCACATTAGAACATATAGTATCTTATTGAATTCAAACTATATGCTCACACAACAGCTGATACCATTCCGATTCAAAAAGTACTTTATTTATAATATCATGTGAATATGTGATACTGTCTCAACATTGTGATAACATATTTCGTTTGTTCTAAAACTGCATATTCTAAAAGATGAAACTTAAGTGGGCTAATAGGCATCCATGAAGTATAGCATTTGTTCATAATCTTCCAGAGATTTTTGTAACTGAAAGCATATTTGTTTCTGGTGGACCATAAATTTGTATAATGAACAACATTTTCACAGTTAGTACATTTTGAAATTGACAGAATAGATGAAGTACATTGTGAAACTTGAGGCATAGTGGAATTGCTATGTACAAAGTGGGAAATACTAGTCTTGCTATATAGCTGTATTGGCATGGGTGTTGCTATAGGAGCAAAATGAATCCTAAATTACAGCCAAATTTAAATTTTATAGCCAACTCTAACTTGTTACCCCATACTTCTCTTTAGCTTTTGTTCCCTTTTCTAGAATAGGAAGAACATCAAATGACCTCTTCATATACATTTAACTATTATTGATGCGTTTTATACCTTGTTTCAAGCCAATGAATTTAATAAATTCAAAATTTCAAATTCTCATGTTAAATAATGTAACTAAAAACATTGGAAAAAAATGAGTAGAACAGAAATATATGCAGCTTAAACACCTTGCAATTCATCAATCTTTGATTTACCAAACTTGGAAGTTTACAAATGAAAATATTCATACAGGAATTTAAGCAAACACCTAGTATGCAACAATTAAAACATCTTGGAGAAAATACTTAGTAACAATAAAGCCATTCATTTTACATTGTTTGGACTTTGGAGCATTATTGATGAAAACAGAGATACGATTTAAAGACACTTTTCTCATCCATTTTACATTGTTTGGACTTTGGAGCATTATTGATGAAAACAGAGATACGATTTAAAGACACTTTTCTTTTCTCACTGCTCCACAGAACACATACTCCGAAATCTTTTCCACTATAAACCACAAAAACAAACAATTTTCTCTTGTTCCAAGTTTGTGATAGGTCACATTAATTTGAAAAAAAAACAAATCACGCGAAACACACATAAATAACGTGTTCTTACCCATAGATGCAAATTCAAGACCAGTTTTCAATTCTGAAAATTTCAATCAAAGAGTTCAAAAAGGCTAATAAAAAACCAAAAGAATCTTACCTGAAGCCTGAGCCCTGAAAGTATGTTCCTTCGTTCCTTAAGCTAGTCCTTCCAAATTTCCAATTCCAAGCGTGGAATAGGGTGGGAAATGGTTCTATGTTGGTTAATGTTAATAGGATCCGTTTGGAAAAAAAGGAAAAAAAAGTTTTTATTGTGAATCTAGTCTAAAAATTATGTACGTATAGATACAGGAAACAATCGTTAAACCCTTCACCACGTGTCTCTCAAAACGACGTCGTTTTGTTAAGTTGTGTGGGGTGTCGACGCGATAGAGTGTATGTAAATTATGTTACGGAGTATATAATTATGTATATATTATGTTATACAATTATGTATATTTTGGTATACAATTATATACATATTTTATACAACTATGTAAATTCGAATACACGATTTTTTTTATTACTTAAAAGTTTATGTGTATTCTATTATACAATTATGTACATTCTCATATGCAATTTTATACATTTTAGTATACAATTATGTACATTTTCAAAACATGAATTTTTTTAACAAGTTAACAGCAAACACGAAAAAACGGAATTTAAAAAAAAAAAGGTGCAAAACGACGTCGTTTTGCACCAGGGCGCACAATGCAATGTGCGCCTTGGTGCACGATATAAATTGCCAAAATTTTGAACCCGAAAATAAACTAATAAAGGAATAAGGATCAAATAAGCCATCAAACTACACATGAAAATGCAATTAGGCCATTGAACTAAAAAAAAAAAAAAATTACAATTGGTTCCCTGGACAACATAAAATATTACAATTAAGTCAAAAATGACTTGTTTACCTGATGGAGAGGTTACCCTATTAAAATAATACTTTTTAATTTTATTTTAATAATTTAAAATAACAAAACTAAATTTAAAAATAAATAAATAAATAAACATGTTTTCCGTTTCGTCTCCGCTGCCGGCAGCCTGGCTCCGGAGGCAAACCTGTTTTTTTTTTTTTTTTTTTTTTTTTAATTTAAAATTATTAAAATAAAATAAAAAAAATTATTATTTTAACAAGATAGCCTCCACATAATCAAGTTAACAAGCCCAATTGCAACATTTTGTATTGTTCAATGACCCAATTGCATTCTTTTTGAGTTCAATGGCCCAATCGTTATGCTGTGCATCCGTATGCACCATGCATGGTGCATACGGATGCCAAAACGTTGTTCAATGACCCAATTGCATTCTTTTTGAGTTCAATGGCCCAATCGTTATGCTGTGCATCCGTATGCACCATGCATGGTGCATACGGATGCCAAAACGACGTCGTTTTATTAAAAAACGCGCGTCTCCCCTTTAAAAAAAATTCAGGTTCGATTCCCAGCAACAACATTATATTGTTCATTCATTCTGGAATTTTAGTTCATAGATTATGGAATTATAGTTCATTGATTATGGAATTATAGTTCATCGATTATGGAATTGTAGTTCATCGATTCTGAAATTTTAGTTTATAGATTATGGAATTTTAGTTCATTCATTCTGGAATTTTTAATTCATAGATTATATTATGGAATTATAGTTCATCGATTATGGAATTTTAGTTCATATGTTGTTGCTGGGAATCGAACCTAATTTTTTTTTTAAGGGGAGACGCGCGTTTTATTAAAACGACGTCGTTTTGGCATCCGCATGCACCATGCATGGTGCATACGGATGCACAACATAATTTGCCTCAATGGCCTAATTGCATGTTCTTGTGTAGTTCGATGACCTATTTGACCCTTATTCCACTAATAAAATTATTATTGGGCTTAATGTTGAGATTGATTATTGGGCCATAATAATTAAATTAATTTAGTTAGGTCAAATAAATTTAATTTGGGCTATTGAATTAATTAATTAATTGGTTTAAGCCCATTTCATATTTGAATTATAATTATAATTATAATTATAATTTAAATATAATATAATTTTATTATATTTGAATTAGATAATTATAATTTAATTTGAATTTGAATTAGATAATAGAATAATGAACTTAAACTTGCTTTTGGGAAATGTTCATTTTCTTAATTAATAATTAATTAAAAGTGGAGTTTGTTGAGACATTTTGGTTAGGCTTTCCACTATAAATAGAACCTTCATTTGACATCTTAGGACACACAATTGAATACTTGAAGAACACTTAAAGAATTGAAGAGAAGCTCTGGATTGAAGATCAAGCCAAGCTAAAGGATTGAAGATCAAGCCAAGCTAAAGGGGATTGAAGATCAAATCAAGCTAAAATGGATTGAAGATCAAATATTTCAACCATTCAAGCTAAATTAATTCAACACCGAAATTTATTTTGATTCCAAAATCCTAAATTTTCGGGTATTTCGCGTACCAAATTTTAAACTGAGAAACCTATCTGAGTGAGACCGGGAGGATTCTGAATCAAGTGTTTGTCAAGAAATCATTTTTGGAAAAATTGTCTTTCAATCCCAAACTACCTTAAATATCAATTCTAGCCATGGTCCATGGAGTATGGTGAACCACACCACTCCAAGAACTTTGCCTAAGACATTTTCTACCCAAGCTTTTACTACTTTGCCCCTCACCAATCATTGAGCATCAACCTAGGGTTTAGCACACTATATAGACGTCACTATTCCATTGATGAATTCCTGATCTCTTTCTTTGCCTCACCAAAGCCTTGTCTGCCAAGTAGAAAGAAAAACAACACAATAAGTTTCTTAGGTTTGATCTCATCCATTCATCCATTTTCCATCTAGCTTCCATTCCTTTGCTTCCAATCTCTGAGATTTCTATCCTTAAGTTTTGTGGTATGGTTTATTTGGGGAGTTTAGGTGGTGAAGGAGGTGCTAGCTAAGTTGGGAAGAAGAAGAGATCCAAGCTAGGAGTGCAAGCAATAAAGGTATAACCCCATGGACTCCCACTTTAAGTTTTGGCTCTGTGAAGCCTTGTTTCTTAGGTAGAAATGAATAGAAATGCTAGATTTTTTATGTGTTTGAGTTGTGAAGTGATCTATTCCTTGTCTATGATGTGTGGTTAATGTTTTGGATGTGTTGGAGTTTTCTGAGATTGATTTGCAGATGAAAAGGGATCATTTGGTGCATAGGCAGTGTGCACCAGATGAGGCAACGGCCCCAGCCAATGACCCAACAAGTGGACCGTTGGCTAGAGCCGTGGCCATCCGGGCCTAGGGAACGTCCCTAGGAGAGGGTCGTTGCCTAGGGCCGGCAAGCTAACGGCTTGAGGGGGGCGGGCCTTGCTGAGCCCCGCCCCATGTTCTGTGAGTTTCTCCTGTGCAGTGGCCGGGCCCTTGTGGCTCAGCTACGTGTCGTTTCAGACCAGGTGTCACGGCCCTTGTGGCTCGGTACCTCGGGGCCGTCTTGACGCACGTTTTGGCTTTGATTTCGTTGAATTTGGATTAGAAATGAGCATGATATGATAGAATTTGTGAAGAAATCGTGTTACAGTAATGTTCAGATGAAAAGTATCAAAGTTATATTGCCTATGTGAATTGCTTGATGTTATTTGATTGCTAAATAGAGAAGCATGATCATTAAGTTTTCGAGTATTGTTAGAAAAACATGTCTAAAGTGTAATTGATTCATGGAGAATATAGTCTGATTACATTTGTTGGAGTGTACAGAGCATGTTGTTTTTGCAATCCTAGCATAATTATGTGTCTTTTGAAGAGTTCACAATAACATATAAAATTGAAGCATGTTGTACAGTAATTTACATTCCAAGCATATCATGTTTTATAAGTGCTAAATGACCAACGTGAGCCTAAGTATTATTTTCCAAAATTCATGAGCAGTTGGTATGTCATTACCTTGTTGCATTAAGAAGTTGTTGAGATGTGACAGGCATAAGTTTGGTGCATGAGAGATATACATATATTATCTATCTATATATGTGAGGTTTTGGAGGACCCATTGGGACTATGTCCTTACGGAGTAAAAGAGAAAGTAACGGATATTGCGATCCAACATATTTATCATGTAACGCGGTGTATTTCCACATTACGAGGTTGGAGACTGCCCGCCAGGCTTGGAATCCTGGTTAGGGGGTGTGCACACTAAAAGTACGATACCTGATTCCACAGAGAAAGCAAGCAAGAAAGAAAGATAAAGAACCAAAAGAGTGGTTCTGTGGGCGAGTTGAGTATGTGGCCGGCTAGAGTGCCGAGCTGGTTAGGTCCATTCACGATTTGTGAAGACCTACCTCCCCACGAGTTAGAGGTCCCGTAGTTACGGATGTGGCGGATGCACGAGATTGCACCGTACGCTAGGGCTTCGCTACGGCGGAGTACTTGCCTCGCACAAGAAGAGAAACGAGAAGTATGAGAAAGTTTGAGCAAGAAAGAAATCGAGTCAAGAGACTCAAGAGAAAGAAAGCGAGTCATTGTGACTCTAAGAAACCTCCACAGAAAAGTATTCTATTTAAAAACGAGTGTATAAGTATACTTATCCTATAGCATCTTATTGCATTTGAGTATAGTATTGCACGAGATTGAATTTGAGTATAGTATTGCACGAGATTGCATTTGAAGTATAGTATTGCACGAGATTGCATAATGAGAATGTTTGCACTAGATTGCATTTTGAGAATGATTACCCGAGATTGTATATTGAGTATGATTGTCTTAGTTGCATATTGAGGTATATCTAGTTTACATGGTGAGAACTTGAAAGCATGAGAATAATTTCTTATTGTTTGATAGCATGAAATTGCTTGTTAAGTTATGTGTTAGCATGAGATTGTTATTGAAATGTTATACAGGATTGAGATTTGCTATGTTATGTATGCGATAGAAAGCTTTGTGGTTTATATTAAGGTTTTGTCTAAGTGATTGAGATTGCTTAAATTGAGAATGTGAATCAAATATTTTTCCAAAGTATATATTTTAGTATTTTACAGGGTTGAGTGTGGTTATACTTAGCTTCGTGCTAACGGGTGTTTTCTATCTGTCTATTTGCAAAACCCCTTTCAGGGGGCCTAGCTTTGAGAGCGCTCGAGTTAGACTAGTGTAGTTAGTTGTTATGTAGTCTAAACTCTTGATCTTTTATCGTTGTTTTCGAGATTATGGATGTAGACACCCTTTGTTTTGTTA